AAAACTTTGTATCTCTTAACCAACACTTCCCTGTTTTCTCCTTCTCTCAGTCCCTGTCATCACCATACTTCTTGCTTCTATGAGTTCGACTATTTTAGATTCCTCATGTATAAATTTATGGTCTCTTAGTCTATTAGGGCTGCTATAATAAAATACCATAAATGGAGTGCCTTATAAACAATAAACATTTATTTCTCACAATTCTAGAGGCTGGAAAATCCAAGAAAATCCAAAATCTTGGAAAATTCCAAGATCCGGTAGGTTTGGTTTCTGGTGGGGGCTTATTTCCTGCTTCATAGATGATGCTTTCTTCTTGTGTCTTCACATGGTTGAAGGGGTGAATGAGCTCCCTTAACTTACTCATTTATGTGTCATAGCTCTGAAGTTTAGGAAGTCCAAGATCTTGGTGCTGGCAGATTCAGTATCTGGGTAGGGGCCCAATTTCTGTTTTGTGGATGCTGCCGTGTAGTTGTCTCCTTACCTTCCAGCTGTGTTCCCATGGTAGAAGTTGTGTTGGGGGCTCTCCCTCAGGCCTCTTTTTTAGGAGCATGAATTTCATTCATGAGGGTTCCATTCTTATGAAATAATCACCTCCCAAAGGCCTAACCTTTTAATACTGTCATCTTAGAGTCAGGATTTGAACAAGTGAATTTTGGGGGGGGCACAAACTTTCAGACCATAACAACTAGGTCATATGGTCAGGAATCTCTATACTGTTTTTTCATAGTTACTGGATTCACCAGTTTGCATTTTCATCAACAATGTACAAGGATTCCCTTTTATCCACATCCTTGCCAACGTTTGTTTTTTCAATAATAGCCATACTAACGGGTGTGAAGTAATAATTCATTGTTGCTTTGATTTCCATTTCTCTGATGATTAGTGATGTCCAGCATCTCTTCATATTGCTATTGTCCATTTGTATATCATCTTTGGAGAAATGCCTATTCAGGTTCTTTGCCCATTTTGAATTCATTATTGGTTTCTTGCTATTAAGTTGTGGGAGTTCCTTATATATTTTGGATATCATTCTATTATCAGATATATGGTTTTCAAATATTTTGTTCCATTCTGTAGGTCACATTTTCATTTTGTTGACTGTTTCTGTTGCTATTTAGAAACTTTTTGTTTGATATAATCCCACTTGTCTATTTTTGCTTTTGTTGCTTATGCTTTTGTGGTCATAGCTAAGAAATTAGTCCCCACACCAATGTCAAGAAGCATTTACCTCTTTTTCTTCTAGGACTTTTACAATTTCTGGTCTTATGTTTAAGTCTTTAATTCACTGAATTCACTTTGAGTTGATTTTTTTGTGCAGTGTAAGAGAATGGTTCAGTTTTATTGTTGGGCATGTGAACATCCAGTTTTCTCAACACTCTTTATTGAAGAGACTTCTTTTCTCCCTTGTGCATTCTTGGAACCTTAGTCAAAGAACAATTGAACATACATGTGTAGATTTATTTCTAGGCTCCCTATTATGTTCCACTAGCCTATATTTCTGTTTTTATGCCAGTATAATACTGTTTTGATTACTATGACTTTATAATGTATTTTGAAATTGGGAAGTGTGATGCCTCCAGTTGTGTATTTTCTCAAAATTACTTTGGCCATTTGAAGTTCTTTTATCATGTTATATAAATTTGGAGATTTTTTCTTCTATTTTTATAAAAAATGCCATTGGGATTTTGACAGAGATTGAACTGAATCTTTAGGTTATTGGGGTATTATGTACATTTTAACAATATTAATTCTTCCAATCTATAAAGTGTCTTTTCATTTATTTTTGTCTTTGATTTATTTCATCAATGCTTTTGGTTTTCAGCGTACAGGTCTTGAACCAGCTTAACTAAGTTTATTCCCAAGTGTTTTATTATTTCTGATACTCTTATAAATAGGATTGTTTTCTTAATTTCTTTTTTGGATAGTTTGTTGCTAGTGTATAGAAATGCAGCTGATTTTTGGGTGTTGATTTTATATTTTGCAACTTTATTGAATTCACTTAGTAGTTCCAATGGTTTTTACGTGAAGTCTTTAGGGGTTTCCTACATATCAGATCATGTCAACTGCAAACAAATAGCTTTATTTTTTATTTTCTTATTTGGATGCCTTTTTTTTCCCCTTGCTCAGTTGCTCTGGTTAGGTCTTCCAGTAGTACGTTGAATAGAAGTTGTAAGACAGGGCATCCCCACATTGTTCTGGATCTCTGGAACATGCGGTGTTTGGTTTTATGTTCTTACGTTAGTTGCTGAGAATGATGGTTTACTACGCAGTCATAAAAAATGATGAGTTCATGTCCTTTTGCAGAGACATGGATGAAGCTTTCTTTGGTTTTAAACCCGGGCAAGTTTGGCATATACCATTTTGTTACTATGCATTTGACAAATGCAAGTATTGAGCTATTAGTCATGGAGATATGCCAAAGAAGACAAGATAACTTCCTTTAAGTATTAGGAGGGTAAAATAATACCAAAAAATTTCAAAAGAAAATTGTAGAATTGAATAGAAATAGCAGTAGAAATGCTATTTCACTTAACTCTGTTTCTTGATGGAAAGGTTATTAGAATTAATCCTGGCCTGATCAAATTGCAAATGTCTAAAAGAGCCTAAGGTAGTAGTTTTGTGGATAGCAAATAATGTCAGACAAATTCAATTTATTTTTATGAAAAAGTACCAAGGGAGAAGCCATATGTATTATAGATCAGGAATTGAGTCAGCTTCTTCAATGTGTTCTACATTACAATTAACCTCAGCAAGCTATGGTATGTAGGTGCATGTACCCACAGGGCAGTGATCAAAAGTTTATTCTTACTATCAGAGGACATGATGAATGGATTTTCTTTGCAGTTATCATAGTTCTGGTTGTAATAATTATATAAGGGATTGAAAAGTTGGAATAAAGTGATTTTCAGTTTAAAGAGTCAGTTAAAGTGACTTGTTAGTACTTCCATGTAGAACATAGGAATATGATGTTATCATACTAAGTAGAAATTATCGACATATAACTTATTTTCAAAAAATTCAGTTTAGTTCAAGATACTTGTCTTTAGGGAAATTGTACCATATAACTGATAAGATGATTATAAATGACTTTTTAAAAATTATGCAGTGTAGATTTCACTCAGGCACTACCTGGGTAAGTAATGTAATATTACTCCAAAATAATTGTTTCAAATTCCACACAGCCCAAATAAATAGTATGCAAAAATATTACTAATTGGAATGTTTTAGGAAGTTTTCTTTAAGCCATTTGAAAACATTTGGGGGAAAAATGTTAGTTAAAGCTAGAATAACAAAGAAGAAAACCATTAGATAAAATATATACTCCCCTTACCTTTGGAAGTAGTCAGACCTTTAAAAGATAATTGTTTTAAAATGCAATATAAATAAATTTATATGAAACATGTTCATACTTAATAACTATCATCACCTTTTCTCTACTCCAAAATAACAAAAATAGAATGTTTTGTTCTATCCATAGCAAAAGTAAAACACTGTCACATTCATATCTTTAGTTAGTATTTTAGTACACTGACCAACAGCAAAGAACAAAAAGAAATATTTACTGATTATGTCATGGTCATAATAATAACTATATAAAAAAGGAAATTTTTAAAATGAATTTTTAATAATTCTCCAAAACATTTATTTTACATAGTGCATTGCATGAGATGACTCTAGTTGTAACTACACAGTCTTTTAACATCTCATTCCTACCTTGTCAGCCTCGTTTCTCAACTAGACAAATGTAAGTTGGTTTCCTTGTTTGCTTGCCTTCTGCTGTGATTGATTTTGCATATTACATACTGTGTTATCCTTAAAAATAAAAATACAATGTGACTGCCTTCCTTTATTCTTCAAAGTGGTCCAGAGGCTTACCATTGCAGTCACAATATAAAGTAGAAAACATCATGTATCCTAGAAGTGCTTACATGATTTTTCCTATAATCACCTATCAAGCCTTTTTTTCTACATTCACTGTTCTTCTGCCACACAGGATTTCTTGCTTCTTACTATTCCAAGAGCAAGTAAAGCTTGTTTTTCATCAGACTGTTAAGCTCTTCTCGGTCTTCTCATAGCTTATTCTTCTCTGTCATTCAGGACTTTGATCAAATATCACCCTTCAAATCTGAAGTAATAGCCACTGCTTGACTCTCCTTTGTATTCATAACAGCATATTGTGTTTATTATTTGCCTCCAGCCATAACTGTATGTGTGCCCATATATTCATTTTCTCGCTGTTCATTTTCCACGTTAGAATATAGAATCTATAAAAGCAGACATTTTATTGTTTTCTGTTGTATTTCTGGTACCTAGTAGAGATTTAACATTTTTTATGGAATAAATTAATTCAAAAACGAAGGAGTGGATAAGTATGCTCCAAAATATCAAATTTGGTAATATTCTAATGTTTTTCTTAAACACTTATATAGATAATGTCTTGTTGATGAATACGAATGTTAACATTTATAGATTTAATCATTTATATGACTTTTCCATAACCCCTTGTAAAATATCATGCAATTTCTCTTTACTACCTATTTTAGCTAATTAAATAATTACCATTTTAATTATTTTTATTTTCTTAGGAATAATTCTGAGTAAAAATAAAACATATATCCTTAAAATGTATTTTGTTCTATTTATTGCTCCTAGAAAAAATTAAGTTTGCTAAAATAGTTTAAATATTCAAAGGACATATATAACCTTTTTAATTTTGTTTGAAAATATTAAAATTAATTAAATTCATCAATTTTTCACAGAAGACACAGTCACATCTTCAATTATCACTTTTTAGTTTGAGTTGATAGAGCTTCTCTTACATACAGTAGCAGCATTCACATAACTGTTAGCGAGATGCTGTTTCAGGCCTTTTATCGATATTCATCAAAATCTTATCTGAGAAGAGGAGTAATATTAATATTATTTATGATAGCATTTTTCAGCATATTTATAACATTTTTCCTCATTTCACTTGTTTTCTTCTTGTGATTTTCTTCCAGAAATTGAAAAATTTCAAGGTTCTGATGGAAAAAAGGAAGATGAAGAAAAGAAGTATCTTGATGTCATCAGCAACAAAAACATAAAGCTCTCAGAAAGAGTACTGATTCCTGTCAAGCAGTATCCAAAGGTACTACCATATATACTTTTTTCTCATAGAATTGATTTAAAAAATGATAAAATATTTTATTTATTGACTTCTATAAAATAAATATTTGAAGCTTCATAATGTAGGTATATGCAAGCACGTGATATTGACAGAGGGGAAGGAAAACTTTTGAAAGTGCAATGATGAGGGTAATTTTAAACTGAAGGCTACAGCATTTTTGTTCTGTGAATGTAGGAGGCATAATCAGATATTTTAATCATGTATTCAAAATATAAATGATATATCAATTTGTCCAAATATGTACACCCACGTGATTATCTTTGATTCATGTTAAAATGTATCTCCTTATTATAAAACGGAGTAGAGTTAATGATACTAAATATATAACATTAGAAAATCAGAAGGGAATTATTATTAATATATCTAAGAAAATCAATTAGGTTATTAGACTCTTAGATTATAACCTATAGTCTTCTATAATCAAAGTTTATTCATAAAATAATTACAATATCATCCTTAATGTTACATCTTTCTTTAAACTAATTTTTCACTAGTAGATCATTGATTATAAAAGATAGCATTCAGTGGCATGGTTTTATCAATTATATTCATACATTTCAATGGGTAAAAAGAGGGATTTTTTGTTTTGGTCAAATGAATGGAGGAAACTAAAATGTAAACTCAAAGATTCAAGCTGATAATTAACTTTCTGAAGAGTGAATGTGAAGCAAGGACCATGTAATTATCCTAACAGTAACGATTACAGAAATAAATGCTCTGGTTTACCAATTGTCTTCTACTATGATAAACTTTAGTAAATATAATTAACTAGATGCTTTGTCTATAATTATTTCAAACAGGGATAAAATTGTTAAAGCCCAGCAAACCATAAAATTTATCTTTGAGATAAAATGTTTTGGGCATGGAATTTGTTTTTGAGCTTGACTATTGCAAGAAAGCTGTTTAAAATGGGTATATGTTTTTAAAATAAACTTTATTAGATTTGCTTTATAATCATGTTCTCTTGAATATTAAATTGGGCAGGCTTAGAAATGTACATGAAAAATTTGCATAGTAGTGAAATGAGGTAGGAATATGTTAGAGTATAAAGAATAATATGTCCTTTTTCACTTGATCAATTAACCAGTTATAGTCTTGAATAGAAGGTTCTTTTCTTAAATCATACATTTAAATATGGTATAACTTGATGATGTTTCTTGGAATAACATATTTGTATCTCTGGATATGGGAAAGTCAATGACAGACTCAATACCTGCCTCTAAATAAAAATGTAGTTCTATAGTCTCTGATCAAATTACACTGACAAGGTATGTAATGCATTTAAAGTCTTGATGGCTCTTCAAGTTCCTATATGAGTGGTTTTATGCTGATTATTACTGGATCTGTGTTTGATTCAGAATGATGAATACCGAAATAAGAATATTCTATGATGTCAAATTTTTGTCTGAAGTTTAATTTTGTAATGTATAACAAAATGCTCTAACAATAAAACTGTTTATTCTTAACTGCCGTGGACCACAGATCACCAGCAAACTATTGTGTCTCTTATAATTTTTAAAATTATGGAATGTTTAGGCTGGGACTAATCTTGGAAATCACAGAATATATAAAACTTTTATTTTATAGATGAGGTAACTGAAAAATCATGAATTGTTCAAGGTCATGCTTCTGTTAGAGATGGAAAATCTTTAGTGCAGTTACTATAATTTCAGGCTCTTCATTTTTGGTGCACCGTTACATTTTTAACTTGACCGATCATGCCCACATATTTGTATCACTTTTTCATGTTAAATGTGGAAGAATGTGAAAAATGATAACACCTAATAGTTTTATGGAATAGTCTCAAATAACAATTCATGCTTGAGAAAATTTGCCATTTCTTTAAATTATGAATAGCCTGCCAAACTCCTTTATTTTTAAAGGAATATTCATTTCATCTAATTGTCACACAAAAGAGAACTTTAGAGCTTTTCTACAGAAAAAGAGTGAAATTCTGAGGAGGAGACTATACTCACTTATCAAAGTTGACCTACCTTGTTCTTGTTTTTATAGTACAATAAATCATAATATTTTAAAAACAAACTATATCTTACTGTATTTAATAATCTTTGGAAAACACACCATATTTTATTATAAAAGTTGTGATTTTTTTCCTGCTGTTCATTGTCCATTTCTTAGAAAAATATCAATGAGATAGAGTTAAATGATCACTAAACTTGAGCTGTATTCAATGTACATTTATGGGCTGTAAAATGTGTGATGTGGTGTAATACTATGAGCTGTTGAGCAGAACACAACAGTATTTATTGGTTTAAAGTTGAATCTTTTGTAATAGAAAAGTGATTTATCCTTCAGGGGACCACACTGGTGAAAGAATTCCTTTACACAGCTTTCTCTCAGAACGATTTCTCCCCTTGACAACTGCTGTCTGTTTGTATCAATAATTAATGTGTTGGTGACACAGTCCTCTCAAAGAGCAATAAATGACTATGGGAATTCTTGGGGAAATGGTCCTCTCAAGACTTTACTACATGACTTTTTTTGGATAGATTGTGTTTCAATTACTCTCCAATTTCAAGTGAATTTGTTGACGTAGTTGAATACTACAAGAAATTGAATGAAGTTTAAAATTTAATTTATAAAAATTATAAAAATGCTCTTTAAGATTGATTTATCTAGCCTTGGCGCTTTACATTTAATAATTTGACTTGGGGAAATATGTCATATTATAATATTAAATTATTTTAATGAGTAGTTTTTCTTATTTGGCTATATACACACACACACATATATATATATATATATTTTTAGATAAGCCAGCATAAAGCACTTTTATTGCAATAATAAAACTTGAGACTCATATATAGTGCGGAGGGGGAAGGGGCAGCAATGATTTCTCTCACCAAATCACTACACAGGACAGCAAAGGGGTGAGAAGGCACTGAGGGAGGAAAAGCCAGGAAACTCGAGATCAGCAGAGGGAGCCAAGCTCAAAAAACAGGAGAGCTGAAGCTGTGATAACCAGCATCATTTTCTTAAGAGAAGATTCAAGGATTTGTCATGATGGCTGGGCTTTCACTGGGTGTTAAGTCTATAAACAGCACTTTCAATTGAAACTGTCAATTAAAGTTCTTAAGATTTAGGAAGTGGTGGAGCTTGGAAAGTTATAAGATTACAAAATTCCTGAAAGTCCATTAGAAAAACCACAGGATGAAAAAAAATAAAAAGTAAAAAAATAAGCCAGGCCACGAGGAAGGCTTCAGAGGTCCCTGCCGGCCCAGGGACTGATGCCTATATTGTCCAGCATTGCAGTGAACATGATCTGCTTTCAAAGGCAGAGGGTTTAAGGGGAGGGTGGGGTGGGAATGGTGGAGGCAAAGGCTGTCCCCATCCCCACCTCAGTTTTAGGTAGGGCTTGTAATTTAACCCAAGGACATCTCTCAACTTGGAGAATAATTCAGTCCTCAACAGCGCCTCAAATCTGCTATGGCTTTGCAGCGCAGCAACAAGAATGTTTCATATATAATAGATAAAAATTTCATCTAAAAAATTAAAATAAAATATTCTTGCAACCCCTGGCCCCCAACACCAATTCCTATTCTAACGTTAACCTATCACTTGTGCTGTTAATATCTGACCATGTACTTAACTGGAAACCTATATCCAAAGACTGAAACTGAATCTTCATCCCAAAATGAAAACAAAATAAAATGAATAACTTGAGGTTTATGGCATATGGTTTAGGTAAACACACATATGAGTAGAAAGGGGAAGAGGAAATGGAGGTGTCAGAAGCAAAGCTGAGTGACAGAACACATTCAGTCAGGGCAGATGTCTATACAGAGTGGAGTGGAACATCAGGATAAGCTCCATGTGGATTCATGTGCACACGTCTGGAGGCACCAGATCCCTCTATGGCAGATCCAAGAACAGGGAGCTAAGGGAGGAGGCTATTCCTGCCATTCCAGTTTTAGAAGCTCCGCATCGAAGATGAGAGTGGCATGGGGTGGGATGATGACTCGGTGCCCAGTGGCACTATAGGTATAATCTGGAGATAGAGTCATTTTGGCTCTCTGACCCACACTCATCTGGGCAACCCCTTCTTCCCAGCCTCGGATCACCTCCTGCTTGCCTAGTATAAACTTAAAGGGCTTGTTTCTGTCCCGGGGGTAATCAAATTTCTTTCCATCTTCAAGCATCCCGGTGTAGTGCAACACCCAGGTCTGGCCACGCTTCGGGAAGGTGCACCCATCTCCTGGGGAGATGGTTTCCACCTGACTCCCATGGCGGCGGCGGACGCCGAGCGCGCTGGCAGCGCTAGGTGGACCGACAGCGACCTGGCAGCGGTTCCACGGCTCTGCCTAGTCCCTCTTGGCTTGTATTTTTATAATAAAATTAATAGACATGTATTTGTGATTCGTGCTAAATGAGTAGAATTTAACTGCTTTTGCCTACAAAAGCAAATAAAACAATGGGCAAGTATTCGGAAGATGAGTATGTTAATTTGCTTCACTTTAGTAACTTTTTTTTTACTCTGTATATGTATCCCATAATATAATTTTGTGTACCTTGAAAATACACAACAAAATTTATTTCAAAAGAGATTAATAGAGAAATAGATGTTGTGCATCTATTGTTTGCATTTGCAAATATTTCGGAATCACAGCAATTACTTATTTTTAATATTCAATTTAGTTTCATGGTTACATGCACAGGTTTATTATACAGGTAAATTGTGTGTCGTGGGGATTTGATGTACAGATTATTTCCTCACCCAGGTAATAAGCATAGTACCTGATGGGTAGTTTTTCCATTCTCACCCTATTCTCACCCTCAACCCTGAAGTAGACGCCAGTGTCTATTGTTCCTTTCTTTGTGTCCATGTGTACTGAATGTTTAACTCCCACTTGCAAGTGAGAACATGCAGTATTTGGTTTTCTGTTCCTGCATTAGCTCATTTAAGATAATGTCCTCCCGCTCCATCTGTATTGCTGCAAAGG